GCCCGACTGAATTTTAAAATCCTCGTGAAATGTTTTATATTTTGTTATACAATATAAATGTACCGCCCGACAAAATAATTCAAGACAGTTAATTTTTTTATATTTTATATAGGGTTTTTATTGCCATTTTAAACTTCCAATTTGAAACAAACAGAATTTTGAATGAAATTTCATTGTATTTTAAAGAAATTCAGTCATTCTGTCATTGTTCGTGGAGATACCAACTATTGATATATAAATTATATAAATATAAAATATAAAAAATAAATCTCCCACTGTCTTTGACATTTCAAAGTGTAGACAGTGTCTAGCGATGAGAATCAAGGAATTTATTTTATGTGTTAATATAAACCAAGGCCGTTTAGCTGCCTTAAAACGGTGGTTTAATAAGCTCAAAATACAAAGCATGCAAGTCTATACTATACATTCATCATCAGTCAACAACCGAACTGAAAGTTTTGAACCTTATAGAACGATAGTTTTTATTTATACATATTCAACGGGTATATAAGAGTTTAACTGTTATTTGATAATTACTGCATCAACCGGCCCCTATAGTTTATACTTTGGAGGTTCGTATCTATCAAGTATCTTTGGTTCAGAACATGATAGGCCTATATGAAAATCCCACCGTTCGATTCAGTGAAGAAATATCTCCTAATTTCTATTGATAGTTTTAGTAAAGTAGTGTTATTTTTCAGCTTGTATCTTTAAATTTGCTTCTTTTATTATGGTATTCCATTTCTGGTCTGACTTGACGTGAACTACTTGTTTCAAAACGTCAAAACATTTGGTTAATGATTAACATTTAACCGAATTTAGCCGTTGATTGACAACTACATAAAAATACTAACCAATCCGTTTTTTCCGTTCACCAGCGGACGGGTAATTCAAAAACCCCTAGTTTTGCGGCAGACGGTATTTCCTTTGACTCCCTAATTTTCGCTGCCTGTAGAAATACCGCCTGCCACGCCGGCTACACAATTCTTAAAATAATTTATCTCATAAATCCATTAAAACACATTGTTCAGTTAGCATATTTTATCGATGTCTTACTGTATAAATAAGGTGATCCGGGTGTCCCCCAAAAAACTATACCCTCTTTGATTTCATGTAACGTAAAACCTATAAAGGCTATTTCACTAAAATAAAAACCATTGTATTCACAAATGATTGACTTAGATTTTAATATATAACATTTAATTTTCCGTGTGATATAGACAGAAATACAAGTGTTTGAAGTTGCGAGGAGTTTTTGAAATTGGCGAAAAAACAACAAAAATCGCCGCATCAAACTAAATTGAAAGCAGTTGTCACTTTACATGGAATCTTTTTAACTTCAGTGATTTTATCTTTAATTTTGGATTATTCCCTTGCAAATTTACTTTAAAAATAAAAATTACACTTAAAGATTGATTCTTAGGTATAAAACAAAGTAATAATTCACATTAAATTAAAGTTCCACATGACGTCCCTTAGGAATCAAATTGGCAATGAAATAAACATTGCATGTCGATTAGAGTTTTATTCCTAAAGTTAACAAAAGACCAAAGAGTTTGGATTTGTATCGACACATTTTTCCTGGTGAGTAAACTCATATTAGTCCATTCTTTTGCACATAATTTCATAAAGGCACTCTTTTAGCTAGAATAAAAATAATCAAAAACTAAATTGGAATTTGATATGCTGTTTTATGCTAATTTTTAACTTTTCAGAAATGTTAGTTCAACTTTGAAACGTCAATAGCTGTGCCAATATCGCACGAAAATATGAATGTTATATATCAACATTCTAAGTTAATCCTTTGTGAATACAATGCTTTTTATTTTAGTGAAATAGCTGTAATAGGTTTTACGGTACATGAAATCAAACAGGGTATAGTTTTTTTGGGGACACCCGGTATATCATTTGCACATTTAGCACACACCTTATCTGACTTATATATAGGAGTCATGCAATACGGTCATTGAAAACAAGTATAGGTCAATATGAAACCACAAAGTAATATTAATGATGACTTAGAAAAACGTCGCTCAATTAAATCTTACCGAGCATATGAATTAATTGATGTTATTGCAAAACGAAACCAAAATAGAGTAAATTTAATTCGACAGGGTACCAGACTATTTCTGCGTACGACATGTTCCATATTGTTCATCTAACATCTTTGCTTCGCGTAGCTGACCAGTTTTTTCGAGTACACCTGCAAGGTTTTGTGAAACTATGGCAATCCTCTCATCAGAAGATTGCAATTGTGTAGAGTAGATTTCAAGGGCACGTCTAAAACAAAACTCAGCATCTGCTAGTTCATTTAATTTAGACTGCACAAGACCCAAATTGTAATACGAATTAGCAAGATTAAGATTGGTTGGTCCTGTGATTGTTCGATATATATCGACAGATATCGTCAATTGTTTTCGACTGAGACTATAGTTTTCTTTAAGATAAAATATTGCTCCGAAGTTTGAGGCCAGTAACGCCAACCGCATAAAGGTGAGTTGAAGGTTGGTGCCTGGTACATCCAATGTTTTTCTGAAAATCTCATAGGCTTGTAAGTAATCTTTTACAGCTTCATCCAATTCACCATCATTATAGTGTTTTCTTCCAAGATTGGTGTAGTGTATGGCCTTGGTTTCTAAACTGTCATCTTTGTGAAGCGCTAGTTCGGAGTACATTATATTTTTATCACACTCTTCCGGGCTAGAGCAGGGAAGATTCGCGAGATTAATTAAACATTTTGAAACACTTTTATGCGAAGGCCCATGTTGTCTTGATAAAATTTTGAGAGCCTCTTTCAAATATTTTCTTGCTTGCTTGGTGTTTCCCAGGAAATTTTCTATAGTACCCAGGTTGTTATAGATCTCGCCAATTTTTGGAAACGAAACGTGTAAACTCTCTTTACGGTCACCATTTCCTTTATTGTCTCCGTTCGTTGCCATTTTCAAAGCTAAAATTAGGTAGTTCTTTGATATTAAATACTCCCCATGTTGAGACAGAAATGAAGTTAGATCAAAAATCTGTTTTAGCATTCTCTGCTTCATTTTAATTTTCATTGAACTCAGTACCATCATTTCTGAAGAAATGTTCTTCGTTCTTGTATAAAATGCTTTTAGATGAGGAATTAGAGCAATTTCGCCAAGTGCACATTTTTGTTGGAGAAGCGATTGAAAAACGTATAATGGTATACGCGATTTAGTGTTCCCATCCGCACCATTGGCAATGTACAACTGGATACTGTCGTGTACGACACGGTGCAGTGAAATTGAAGTGACTTTTTGATCATCTGAATGAAGGATCAAAGAACATTGTTGAATTGTAAGTGACACATCCTCTTTATCTTTTTGTTTATCAACACGAAGAACATAGTTGACGACAACTTCCAGTGACTGAACTTCATTGGAAACATAGGAAAAAAACGTAAACGTGTGTTTTAGAACAGGATCGCATTCTGCAGACATCTTGACGGCCAAAAGAACAGCTGTTGACATAGTCAATGAATACGCTGGCATATTTACTTTGGTTAAATTTATCTCAGTCAACTCCCGCTTACCTCCACCTAGTTTTTTCAAATAATCCTTCCAAGTAAACTGTGGCGATGCTTTGCTTTCCCGAACTCGTTTGACGTAAAATCCAGCAGAGGCCAAGGCAAGAGGTTGATAATCCAATTATTTTGCTACTTTGCTTACTAAATCATGATTTCCAACAAGCCCAGATAGATCTGTAAGAAACTCACATGATTCTTCTGGATCCATACCTTGGCTGACTGAAAGATGGACAGTCAAAGAACTGTTTGATGGCACAGAAGACATGTCTTGTGTGGTAATTAACACTTGGCCACCTTGCCAGTCATCACTTTCTAGTTGGGGAAGAAATGAAGACATTTCACTCAGCTTTACAACATTATCAGCTATCAACAACCAAGTGTATTTGTTTTTGAAGTCTTCCAACAATTTGACAATGCTTATTTTGAGACTTTGTATTTTCATCACCGTTGTAGTTTTGTTTGAATTTACGATGTTTCCTATGTCATTTTCAGTGCAATCCAGCCGACGTGCGAAATTTGCATACGATTCCAAGATATCATGCGCTGATCCGCCTTTTAAAGTCATAACAAAAGAGGTGTTCTCAGACCAACGTCTGCCATATCGCTCCCCAACTAACCCAGCAAGCTGGGACTTGCCACTTCCTGGATTTCCAGAAAGGTACAAATAAGTCAACGAACCGTTATTTCTGATGGATAGATTGTGCAATTCTTCAAGAATCGCGTTGACAGTTTGACTTCGGTTTGCAACCAGATGAATTGGTCTTGTTGGGAGGACTCGGAAACGGAAAACTGATTTAGTTGCCATGGGGTGTGTAAACCAATAATAGGATGCGCTGGAAAGTAACCCAGCAATAAATACTGTGAGGCAAAGATACATCATTTTTCGAAAACTAGTTACGTATTTAGCTTTGAATGATTTTAAAATTTTCTCAACATCTGCTGCAGATAACTTAAGGACTTTGAAGCAGTTCTGTACTTTTTTATAAGCGTTCTCAAATTTAACATCAGAGATTTTGTGTTGAGATCCAATTGTATGTGTGAGTTCGTTTCGAAGTTTCCTCAATTCATCAACCTTGTTGGACACATGTGGACTCAAGTGCTTCTTAATCGCATTAGAATATAGAATTGCATCAAACAAAGCAGAGCAATCCCATTCACTTCTTTTTCCAGATTGAAAAAAATTTAAATAAGGTTTAGCATGCCGCCTTGTGCTTTCCATGTTATACAATTCATTACCAGATTTACGAGTGTCGTCCCATACGCCTTTTGTTGCACCGTAATTTTTGTCCCATTCCTGTTTGAATATCTCCCTGAGACCTTCACACACAGCAACATTCATAATTTCCAAAATGCAGTTGTAGTTCTCTTTCTCGTTACCTGTCGGCGGCATGTTGGAAACAGAAATAAAATCATCGGAAACGTGCAAAAATCTATATAAAAAATGCAAAGTAAGTTACGTTAAACCGTGTCCATGAATGCGGCTTAATAAAGGTAGCAATCATAGTGGCGTAAATGAAGAGGCCAGAGAGGGGGCAAAAAACCCCACCAAAAGTGAGTAAAAACTATAAGGTACTGTAGGTTAGTATACCGAAAATGTTTCCTAAATTTATAAAATGACCTATCTTCATGAAACAAGCTCGGAATGAATGCTTGATGGTCTGAGGTCGTTAAGGTCATGTGTTACACCTGCATCTGTTGAAATTGTTTAAGTAATTTGATATCTGGAATTCTTACCCTACTCTTTTTATTCTTAAAACTGCTGCATGGCCTCCAAACCGCCCCGGTTTGTACGAAGGACAGATAACGTTATCCAGTGGGTAATAATTTTTTCGATCTTTCTAAAATTGCTAAAAATATGTTGCTTTCCTCGTCTAATGTAACTTCTATTAGTGAAACACTCACCGCGGCCTTTATCAAATCAGGCATACTTGTCATCAAACAAATTATCTCACCACTTTATCATTGGCAACTTTTCAACCCGGTATACCATGCAATTAGTGCAACCTTGAGTGTCCCTATATGTCGTGTGGAGTTTATCTATTGGTCGAGTTTCGAGGGTTAAATGTCGAGAGCGAGGGTCAAACGTCGAGGGCGAGGGCAAAACGTCGATGGCGAGGTAATATGCGTTCCACGCACATATAGGCTACTACGTGCATTTTAAATGTACTAACAGGGCAATTTAAACTTCACGGCAAACGGCCTTTTTGGCCGCCGACTGGAATTTTTCTTCTTCGTTCGCTTCATCTTCTCATTGTTATCTCAAAAGAATCATCATACATTGTCGTTTTAAAATAGCTAGTTCATTTCCCATTTATTACCTTGACCCTAGCTTGTAGCATAAATTTTATATTTACTTGGCCTATAGCTACCACAAACGGCTTTTTGCAATTTTGCGCACCCATGCAGCGCTGCGCGAATTCTAGTGGCTCTAGTAGCTACTGCATAAATTTTAATACATGTGTTATGCTACATGATAATATTTACATTATACACGTGCATGAGAAAAATCCAACACTGTATGCTATATTGTCGACATTTTGTAGCAGATTTCGTAACAAATGTCTTAGTTCTTGTTCATTGCCAGTGGTATTTTGAACGCACACTTTATCTTTACTTGCGCCAATTCCAGTAGCTACTGCGCGAATTTTAATACATGTATTATATATGGCGCGTTTTACTGTCAAAATTCATATATATGGCGCGTTTTTACTGTCAAAATTCAATAGGTCCAATAGTTATAAGTCGAACACCAAATCACCAATGATACAAATCGGGCAACACTTACTCGAATCGAGCAGACTGATATGTAAATCGATTATTGAAATCGATCAATATACATTCAAAACGAGCAAACAGTATAGCCAAATCGAACGAACATTCTTTGTTTATATTATATTGTGAACTAAATGTTATTGTATTAGGCAAATGAGAACCATGCAATAAATGTCTTGGTATTTTGAATGCAAGCTTTATCTTTACTACTTGCTCGAACTCTAGTAGCTACTGCGCGAATTTTAATACATGTATTAATGTATATTGTCGACATTTTGTAGGTGAAAAGAAAAATGAGAACCATACAATAAATGTCTTAGTTCTTGTAGGTTTTTGAAGGCACGCTTTATCTTTAGTATAGCTACCACAAAGCGTTTGGCGCACCAACTAGTAGCTACTGCGCGAATTTTAATACATGTATTAAGGTATATTGTCGACATTGTGTAGTCAAACCTTTAACTTTTCCTTGTTTATATTTTGTTTATATTATATTGTGAACTAAATGTTATTCTATTAGGCAAATGAGAACCATACAATAAATGTCTTAGTTCTTTTTGGTATTTTGAACGCTCGCTTTATCTTTACTTGCGCGAATTCTAGTAGCTATTGCGCGAATTTCAATACATGTATTTTAATATGGTCAAACCTTTAACTTGCCCTTGTTTATATTGTATTGTGAACTAAATGTTATTGTATTAGGCAAATGAGAACCATACAATAAATCAAAATAAACTGTCGAACCTTTAACTTGTCCTTGCTTATATTCCAGTATATTGTACAAATTCGCGTCGGGTCCAAATTTTGGGGGTTTCGAGTCGTTTAATACAACATATTGATTGTATAAATCCGCCGGGTCGGCCAAATTTTGGAAGCCAAATTTTAGAGTCGTTTAATACAAAAAGAAAAACATTAATTCAACACGCAAGAAAGTCCAAAGTGCGACAAAAAATGAACACAACTACACCACGGATGTTTATTACTCTACAACGTATATTTATAGACAGTTGTTTATTAGTTAAAAAGTCAAACTGTCGAAAATTTAACTTGTCCTTTGTAAAATTCGCTGGGTGACTGGGTCCAAATTTGGGGGTTTTCGAGTCGTTACACGAAGAAAAACATATTAATTCGACACGCATGAAAGTTCAGAGTGCGACACAACGTAAAATCCATAGGAAACCGGCACAACTCTTTGAAAATTCAACGAAACTGTGTGAAATATATTCTGATCACTCAGCCAAAAGGCGCCATTTTGAAACTGGACTGAATATGTCACCACTCACCATTGGAGTTCGGAATTGTGCGCGTGCGTATAAGTCCATATAAGTCTATATATGGGCTAATAAACGAAAAATGCACCACAAGCATGGCATTAGCCGGCTGTTACGTACATAAATACAAACTTCTTACTATTATACATGAATCGTGGAGTCGAAGAATCGATGGCATTTTGGATTAATCGCTGCACCCTGAGCCTGCGATGCGCGAACGCAAACTCGATTTCTCGACGACGAAAAAAACAGAATAAAACAGAAAACTAGGGATTTAAGACACTTGACCTTTCAGGTCAGTGTAATGAGGACACGACTACAATAGATACTGCTTTATTAGTATACTTTATATATAAAGAATACTAATTAGAAGTGTTTTATCAAGTTTAAAGCCACTGCAAGTAACATATTATGGTTGACATGATTTGCCAAAAAGCTTATAATTATTAATGAGTGTTTGAACAAACTTTAATGTAGTTATTGTAGTCCAGTCAAATCACTATAAGTACATGGTCCTGATCAAAGTAATTGCAATAGATTTGTTTTCAGTAGCAAAGTGTGAGAAAAGTTGTTCCGATTAACATACTAAAAATAAAAAAAATCCCTTCGGTGGAACATGGTGAAAATTTTTCTTACTTCTACCTGTAGAAACCATTGTTGAAAATGAATGAACCATTGTTGAACAGAATGTTGAAATTTTGAAATCAGTTTTAGGCAAATGTAACCTACATTATTAGAAAGCTTAGAAAAAACTAAAATAAAAATCATTAAATGGTTATCTTGCTTTTGCCTATCCAGCCGAAGTTATACAAGATTTAAAATGCCATAAATTTGTATTTTGTTTAAATTTTGCGCTATATTTCCAACTTTGAGCTAGAATAACGACAAACTGACCAGTAAATTGAATATAACCGTTTAATGATCTATATTTTAGTTTTTTCTAAGCTTTCCAATAATGTAGGTTACATTTGCCTAAAAATGATTTCAAAATTGGAACATTCTGTCCACAATGGTTTTCTATAGGTAGAAGTAAGGAAAACTCGATTTTCACCATGTTCGACCGAAGGGATTTTTTTTTATTTTTTGTATGTTAATCAGGACACCTTTTCTCACATTTTACCACTGAAAAAAATTCTATTGCAATTTCTTTGCCTCTGGTCATAGATTGACTGGACTATTGTACAATAGTCTAATAATGTAATTATTGTCACTCGTCTGAGCCGTTGGAATCCCCGAGACTGCGTTAATACACGCCTGTCCAATAATAAGCCCATGGGCTTAAACACGTAGGGGTTCTATATTCGAGGGGGCTTATATTTGGAATGGCCTGAGCGTTAGTGAATATATGATGGGTTTATACACGGGTGACTTTATGTCTGATAAAGCATGCGGCATCATATAATTGTTCATCCTAATTGGTATGATTATATAATGGTTCATCCTAATTATTATTATTATTATTATTATTATTGTTATTATTAAGTTTATTATTTAAGTTTTTACGTCGTGTCTTCGTAACAAAATTTTCGCTTTCCTATCTGAAAACAATTACATAGAACATGACATCCAGAAAGGTTTTACCGTTTATGGCGCACATAATCAACACAGCCCGTATAAAACAAAGGTCACTTGTAATCACTTTACTCGATCTGAAGAATGCATTCGGTGAACTACATCACAACCTTATTTACAAAGTTTTTCAATATCATCATATACCTGATCCTATATAAATGAACTAATCCGGAGTCTTTATACTAACTTCCAAACATCTATCATAACTGAAAAATTCAGTACCCCTTTCATTACCGTCGGCCGTGGCGTTTTACAAGGTGACTGCCTTAGTCCACTCCTTTTCAATATGTCCTTTAATACCTTCGTACAACACATTAAATCTGAATCATTCCTGCAGCTTGGTTTTTGGAAATTTAATAAAACTGGTATTCCGTGTAATCCAATTCATTGGTTCCAGTTTGCAGACGACGCGGCTGTCATTAGTAGCCAAGAAAAAGAAAATCAAATCCTACTCAATCGCTTCTCAGTATGGTGTCAATGTATGAGGTGTGATATCCGCCAAAATTCATATATTCAATTATGCCATTGGAAATTGCATTTATGAAGTTCAGTTATGCTATTATGATATTCGATATTATGATATTCGAATTTCATTCGGCGTGAAACAGTCATTATTGAAATTTCATTCGGCGTGAAACAGTCATTATTGAAATAGTCATTCGGCATGGCACTCAGAAACCAAAATTCGACTTCCGGTTTAGCGGGAAAAGCACGCGGGGAATTGTAATTTCAACATGGCCGAAGGCGAAGGCAATTTAAGTCAACAGCGTGCTGTTTCTTTGTTGCAAGAAGCGACAAGATTGATCAGAGAATTTATCCTGGATCATCAAATAATGTTTTTTCAGCACAAGTTGCGAGTCCAAATGTAATTTCTCAAAGCGAATCGCATGCTGCTACATCATCTGGCGGCAGTGCGGCACTGCCGTCAATACATCAAATCGAGAAAGAGTGTTGGGGAATTTTAGAAATCTTTTTGCGCCGTATGGGCATACTGGTCGCCGATGTCTAAGTTCCTCAACACAGTTGTTTCCAATACGTCTACAACACTTATATTTCTTTCTTGTTGACTTAACTTGCCTTTGACTTTGGTCATGGTGGGATTACAATTTCCCGCTAAACCGGAAGTCGAGTTTTGGTTTCTGAGTGTCATGCCGAACCGGAAGTCAAATTTTGGTTTCTGAGTGCCATGCCGAATGACTGTTTCACGCCGAATGAAATTTCAATAATGACTGTTTCACGCCGAATGAATTCGAATAACATAATATCGAATATCATAATAGCATAACTGAACTTCATAAATGCAATTTCCAATTGCATAATTGAATATATGAATTTTGGCGGATATCACACCTCATATCAATGGGCCAATATGATTATACGTGTTGACAAGTGCTCTACGTTCGGTATTAAAAAACACTCATCTAAATCTGTTCAATATCAACCTAAATTGTTTGTTAGCCACCTACTTGTACCCCGTACCGAAACTGGTGAATCTTTCCGCTACCTTGGTCGTTATTTTAATTTCAACATGTCAGATGAAAAACACCAATCGGATATATGTGACTTGTTTAATAATATCATATCTAAAATAGATGAATTACATTTGCACCCCCGAAATAAAATCCTGCTATACAGTCGCTACTTGCTCTCGAAAATCTCATGGGACTTCACAATAACTGATATATCTCAAACATGGGTTTGCGAGACTTTGGACGGTATTGCTACTAAATATATGCGAAAATGGCTCGAACTGCCAATATCTGCAACTCTAAGTAATGTCTATCTCCCTTACAACAAATTTAGTTTAAATGTCATTCTACCTTCAACGAAGTTTATACAGTGCCAAACTGTCTCACGCTTAGCTTTAAAGTCATCGATAAATGAAAACATACGTGAATTATGGTCAATAACAAGCACCAATAGGAACATTCAGTACGACATTTACTCAAACACAAAAGATGTATTGAAGGCATTTAGACAAAAAAACGAACAGCGACTACAAAATAACCTAATTTCACAAGGTTCTTTTTTCTCAAACATCGTGAAAAACTCCACGTTGGCATTCAATTCCCTATGGTCATCGGTTCATTCAAAACTTCCTAAGAACATATTTAACTTCAGTCTACGTTACATCAACAATTCTTTGCCTACTAGGAAAAACATAGTTAAATGGGGACTGTCATCATCTGCTGACTGTTCGTTCTGCTTCTGCCCTGAATCGCTTTTGCACATAATCTCTGGATGTAAGACATATCTAAACGAAGGGAGATATACATGGCGACATGATTCAGTTTTGAATCTCATTGCGTCCAGCCTTCTCGTCGTCGGAAGGTCCAAAATGTATGTAGATCTGCCTGGATTTATTAGCCCATCTGTCATCACTGGTGACGAGTTACGACCAGACCTTCTATTGACAATTGAAAATAAGATTTTGTACATTCTAGAATTAACTGTTGGATTCGAAACAAACCTGAAAACTAACTCAGATCGAAAACATGAAAAATTTTTTACTCTAATTACCGATCAAGAAAATATATATGATGAAATTAAGTTTGTTAATGTATCTATAAGCTCTTTAGGTGTATTTGGTGAATCGACGAATACTTTATTTGATATGCTCCATGATCTGAAGTACGACGAACAATGTATTAAATATGTAAAAAAGAAAATAATTGCTACTTGTATTCGCACGTCATATTATATATTCTGTAGACGAAACAAAGACTGGAACAACCCAGAACTTTTAAACTTTTAACTAAATTTAAAAGATTTTCACCTGTATATATATTTTAGCTTTAAACTCAATTCAAGTGGACATCGATAAGCTACCTTTTATTAAGTGAGTTTTATCAATGTATATATAGTATATCGTAAATATCTAATAAAAAGTTTCCATTATTATATATAATAGCTTTATAGCTTTGATATCAACATATCAAAGCTGAAAAGTACCACCAGTTCGGTTTCTCCCACCAACTCCTTAATCAGATCCACTGGTTTCAGTTTGCTGATGATGCTGCGGTTATTACTGGTCAGGAGTCGGAAAATCAACATCTCCTTAATCGACTCTCTATCTGGTGCCAATGGTCCAACATGGTTGTTAGAGTTGATAAATGTAGCACATTTGGCATCAAAAAAGTTTTATCAAAATCTGCCCAGTACTTGCCGAAGCTTTTGATCAATAAGGATCTCATACCAACGATTAAGACTGGAGAATCATTTGAGTATTTGGGACGACACTTCGACTTTAGCATGACTAATGAAAAACATAAATGTAAACTGATCTCCCTCATTAATGAACTAATGTCCGAAATAGATCTTAAACCTCTTCACCCAAAAAACAAAATTTTACTTTACAGTCGTTATGTTTTGTCGAAACTATCCTGGTATTTTACTGTTGCTACGATATCTAAAACTTGAGTAGTCGAAAATATCGATTCTCCGTTGAACAAGTACGTCCGAAAATGGCTGGAAGTGCCTATATCTGGAACATTAAGTAACATCTTCCTAACCCGTAATAAGTTTGGTCTAAATATCATCCCTGCATCCGTCAAGTTCATTCAGTGTCAAACAGTTCTATGCAATGCCCTAAAAACATCTCCAAACGATTCAATTAACGAACTGTGGAAGTCAACTAATAATCATACTAACATTCAATACGATAGCTACAATTCAACTAAAGAAGTTTTAAAAACTTTCCATTCTCAACAAGAAAATAAACTTAGGGACCGTTTGAAATGTCAAGGTTCCTTTTTCGAAAATGTTTCTAAATTCTCCCTATCACAACTTAACGCAATCTGGTCGGTATCACAATCAAAGCTACCAAAGAACATTTTCAACTTTACAATTCGCTATATGAATAATACCCTTCCTACCCGAAAGAACCTCAGTAGATGGGGAATTTCATCAAGTTCTGACTGCTCGTTCTGCTTACACCCTGAATCACTTCTGCACGTTGTTGCCGGTTGTCAACATTACTTGGAACGATTTACTTGGAGACACGATTGCATACTAAAGTTTCTTGCAAAAACCTTTCAAAGTTTAAACGAATGCAAATTACTTGTTGATCTTCCTGGATTTGAAAACCCCTCGATTATTACGGGTGATGAATATCGTCCTGATTTACTTGTCTCCACTTCAGACAAACACCTCTACGTTGTTGAACTTACCGTAGGCTTTAAATCAAACCTCACAAACAATGTTAACCGCAAGAAAGCTAAATATAAGAACCTAATTAGAGAACTAGATCAAAACTTTACATCTGTTAAATTTATAAATCTTTCAGTCAGTTCGCTAGGGGTGTTTGACAAAGAATGCCATACATTCGTAAAAATGCTAAATGAGTTAGGACTGGATAATCAACACCAGCAATATTATATCAGAAAAATGATATCTATTGCCATCCGATCAACGTACTACATATTTTGCTGTAGAAATAAAGAATGGACAAATCCCGAACTAATGAACATTTAAAGTAACTATTTCTATAAATAATTAACAATTTTTGTATATAAAACTATAACCATGTATAAGTGATTCAAGTAGTCAATTGTAGGTTACCTCAAGAAGTGAGATTTACAATTGTATATAATAAATGTTCTATTGATAAAGTTTTCATTATTATTATTATTATAATTATTATTATTATTATTATTATTATTATTATTATTATTATTATTATAATGCTCCTTTTGTCTTGGCCCAGAATCATTATTGCACGTGGTCGCTGGATGTCAGTGTTATCTCGATCGATTTACGTGGAGACACAATTCAATCCTGAACTTCCTTGCCAATACCTTGCAAACAGTGAACGGTTCTGCCCTCTACGCTGATGTGCCTGGATTCAAAAGTCCTTCAATAATAACTGGTGATACGTATCGCCCGGATTTGTTGCTATCGTTAACAAATGGCTCTCTTTATGTGGTCGAGCTCACTGTTGGCTATGAGACAAACCTCGAGAACAACGTTAATCGGAAAAAAGCCAAATATAAAGAACTAGTAAAACAACTAGACAAAAATTTTAACGAAGTAAACTTTATAAATCTTTCTATGAGCTCCCTAGGTATTTTTGCGCAAGAATGCTCTACATTCTTAGAAATGTTAGGAAATGTTGGTCTGGACAAAAACTACCAAACGTACTGTGTTAGGAAAATGATGACTATTGCCATTCGAAGTACATACTATATTTTTTGCTGCCGAAATAAGAAATGGGAAAGTCCGGACTTGTTAACTATTTGAAATATCTGATTGTCTTGTATATTTACATATTTTCATGTATTCTGTCTTGTCATTTTTATTAGTTCATATAGTTGTGATTCAAATAGCCAATTGTAAGTTACCTTAAATTAGTGAGATTTACAATTGTATATATATAGTATATAACAAAATTATTAAAGTTTCCATTATTATTATTATTATTATTATTATTATATAGTTTTCATTATTATTATTATTATTACCAAACGTACTGTGTTAGGAAAGTGATGACTATTGCCATTCGAAGTACATACTATATTTTTTGCTGCCGAAATAAGGAATGGGAAGTCCGGACTTGTTAACTATTTGAAATATCTGATTGTCTTGTATATTTATATATTTTCATGTATTCTGTCTTATCATTTTTATTAGTTCATATAGTTGTGATTCAAATAGCCAATTGTAAGTTACCTTAAATTAGTGAGATTTACAATTGTATATATATAGTATATAACAAAATTATTAAAGTTTCCATTATTATTATTATTATTATTATTATTATTATTGTTATTATTATGTCTATACATCCTCGAGCTTACAGTCGGTTCAGATGAATCCAATCTGCAAGTTAACGCCAATCGTAAGCGTCAAAAGTACCGTGTTCTAATCAATGAGCAGGAAGCAGATTATGATAAAGTCAAGTTCGTCCATCTATCCTTGAGTACCCTCGGAGTTTTTGGCCGATCTTCTGAAAATTTCGATGGCATGCTAAGTAGCCTTAAATGTGATGCCAAGTATAGTAAATACATAAAAAAGAAAATCGTGAACATATGCATACGAACATCATATTATATATTTTGTAAACGAAACAAGGTGTGGGATAACCCAAAATTAATGTTAATATAATCCTTCTTCAAAATAATTATTGTACAATAGATATATAGTATCAATTCAAGTAGACATTGATAAACTACCGGTAAAGCGAGGTTTATCATTGTAGTTGTATATATCTTAATAATCAATAAATAAAGTTTCCATTATTATTATTAACACCATAGTAGATTTGTGGTGGTCACACCAATCGGCTTCATTTATGCATAGCGGAAGCACAGTGAGCACCCCTAGGCCTTTTCTCACATTTCCGCCATGTTAAATTGAGCAGAATAAAAATCAAATATGAATAACTGCATTGTAATTATATTAAAACGTTTTAAGCTTTTCAACACAAGTGAATTTAAAGAGACAATTTGGTTATATAAACGTATGTCGCCAATCAATTGATATTTTCACAATGTTGGAAGAAATAATCGCTTGTTTCTTGTCATTGTTTTCTGCCTTAACTTTGGATGCGCCACGACTTTCTCGAGAAATGGACGACAATACAAGTCTATCAGAGCAATGTACACGCTATACATGGGAGGATAAAATTCATAGAGAGTATGTCGCGTTTGCGGAAGAGAATTTACAATCAGAAACAGAGTATGTACAACTAGGGTATGAACTGGGAAACAAACCTGGTTATATCCAGTCATTATTCAGAAGTCTGAAGGCGAACTTTACCATAACCTTAGCCGTACTACCTTTGGTACTTATAGGGATGGCGCTTATATATTTCGATTTAAGAACAACCGATTTATGCTCTGAATGCCGGAATAAAAACTACACTCTTTCATTTGATGTTAGGAGAATACGATTACTCGGCAAAGGAGTTGCGAGCGTGATATTGTATCTCTCGTTTCCCTTGATTTTGAGTGTTCTATTTGGTTGGAGCGAATTTAAGCGTCATTATTCCTCAACTATTTTAGTAGGACAACTGGCTGGTTTATTTAATACATTATATATATGTTTTGTATTCCTATATGGTGCTGACAATTACTACGTTCCAGGAGTATCATTTGCTATCGCCACTCTGTGGGAATGTGTGATTGTGGTTCGCAAAATTCGACAAAGTCATCCAACTGTATCCTACTCAGATCGCCATATTTTCACGACGGTTGCAGTGCCGTTTTTGAGCACCTTTGCAATGGCAATGTTTTACAATTACGCAGTTGTTAAGTGGTTTAATTCCCTCGATAATGTGTTGTATAGATTCATATTGGCTATGTTGACACCGACCTTAGCACTGATGCCGACTGCTATATGCAAGCATATGGCATTATGGCGTACTTCAGAAATTATCGAACCAGAGCGAAGCTGGGCGTTGGTTTATTTCATACGGGCAATATTCATTACTTTATATCGTATCATGCAAGCAGATTTTGAGAATATCTGGCTGTTTGTTGGGCTATCTATTCTATCTGGTGTCTCGAGTTTGCTTAAAACAACGACTGTTGGTATTCGTGAGAAAGTATGGGCACGAGTTATCAGGTTTCTAAACAGAACATGCTGTACAAGACTCCAACATTTGCCTGGAAACACACCACATCATAGGCGGCTTAAAGCAGACACGGAGATACAAAATATACTTTTTAAGAATAATTCACTGATTTTAAGCCAATCCTATATCGTTTTATACAGGATTATAAATTTTCAGCTCTGTGATTGGTCTGTCGCGAAGTCATCTTTAATCAGGATTGCTATTGGATTGGTGATTGAATTCGTGTTCAATATTTTGTCTACTTTTATTCGCATACATTGGCACGATATTCCCATAGCGCGAGTGTGGTCGAAGTACTGGAAACGACATGTGTTTGCTAATGGAATCGTTGTTGCAATTTTAGTATGCTATTTTACCAGATCCTTACTCGCAATATTTCAATATCGTTTTCATGATACCTCTGTTACAGGGAATTTTACCATTAGAAATTGTACTCTGCCTTACGAACGCTGGCGTTGATTTCACAAACATAAAACTGTAGACTTGAACGGTCTGTGCCACTGTCGGTAGTGCCAATTATAACAAAACTTCGGTTGGTAGAGATGCAACTACCCGAAAAGTACACTAAGAGAAATTCGACGTTTCGAGCGAAGGCCCTTCGTCGGGAAGTTAGTATAGTGACTATTTTTCAGGTAGTTGCATCTTTACCAACTGTAGACTTACCTGTTATTAGCAAACCACAAATAGAAATTGATTTCGCAAACATATAACTGTATAGACTTACCCTGTCGCTAACGGACTTGATAATGCATGAAAGGTAATGTCTTGTTATTTAAATATTAACATCTTGGGCAGTGGTGTAGTGGCTGAGCCCCCCTTTTTAAAATTTCATGTTGACTGTGGGGGGGGGGGGGG